CAGATATTATTCGTTTATTCATTATAATTTATTATAATTTATTTAATTATAAATAATAATAATAATAATGAAACACCAATTAATGTAAAAGAAAGAAAAATAATTACAAGAATTTATTACAAATATGATTATTGAATCTCAAATCGAATTTTATTTTCAAATAGAATTTGATGTCATCACTGAATTACATTAGGATTTCTGGTATTAGTTAAACAACATTTTGTGGAATTTGTAAATGATATATATTTATATATATTTTATATATATTTATATATATTTTAATGATATATATTTATATTATATATCAGAAAAATTAATTAGAAGAACTTTTGAAAATAATATAAGAATATCAGAACAGAGAAATATTATGATTTTAGATTATAAAACAAATATTATGAATCTATAGAATATATAAATTTTGGAAATCTCTAATTGTATAAATATTATCTAATTATAGTTTATAGTAAATATTATCTAATTAGATAATAATAATTATCTAATTATATATAATATAATCTAATTATATAAATAAAATACATATGGTTTATATAATATTCTTGATTTCAAATAAAATAAGTTAATTTTACAAATGTTTAAACTAAGTACAAGTTGATAATTCGATTTCAATTTTTTTATTTCAATAACTTGGTATTTTTTTTAGATAAGAATTATTGATATATGTTTTATTAATATCTTTTCTCAAATATAAATTATTTTTTAATTATTAAAATAAATTGTAAATATAAATTGAAGAATCAAGAGAAAAATAGTATAAGTGCATTACTTATTAGGATTTAATGAATATATTTTTCATGTTAAGTGATATTATTTTATTTTCTTAATAAAATTTATTTTAGTATTGTGATCAAAAATTAGGTAGGAATATCGTAATCATAATAATAAATTATAATAATATATAATAAAAACTAATACAAAAGCATTTGATCGATTTTTGTTAGAATTCTTAAATAATATTCTTAGATAATAGATAATTTCTATAATTTATAATGATAAGTTTACCAATCTAAATCCTAAGAAATAATAAATTTTTTAAATTTTATATTTCATCAATGATTCTTTTTGCAATTAAAACTGCAGTTTTCATCTTATTATTACTATTATATTTTGGTAATTTTTATAAACAATAGAATAATTTATTTCAGAATAGAATTGGATAGTTCTTAATTTTAATAGAAATATTTCGAAATCGATTACAAAGTAAAAGAATTTCAAAATAGATAATTACGTATCAGATTAACTGATAAGAATAAACAATTTGGAAAAACAGAAAAGAAACATAATACATAATATTTGGATAGGTAATAAAAAATTTATACATTAAGTAATCGTATATTAATTTATTAATATAATTATTTAAATATTTTCAAAGTTAAAAGTATAATCAAAGTAAAAAAATTTATTGTGTTATATATAAATCTTTTTTTCTTTTAATAATTGAACAAATTTAGAGATTTAATATTTCCTTCATTGTTTTATATTTCTCAAAACACTTCATTAATTTACTAAATTTTAGATGTATGTTGGCATCAGCTGTAATAATATATGTTAATATAATAAACAGTAAATAATAAATAAATAACCAATAAATAATAAATAATATATAAATAATAAATAATAAATATAATAAATAATAATAATAAATTAATATAGTAAATAATTTAATCAAAATAATAATTAAAATACATAATATATAAGAGAATTATATTTTTTCATTAAAAATTTTTTACTTACAAACAGATGAACATTCGGCGATTAATTGATTAATATCATTTTCGTCTAAATATATAGTCGTTACTTCTCGAACTACATTTTCATTAAAATTTCCGTCTTCGTCAATCTGTTGGAAAAAAATGATAATTTTTTTTTCTTATTTTATACATAGGTAAAATATTTAAGTGATTTTGTTATTTATACTAACAGCGTTGAATTTTTTTATTATGCATTCACAGTAAAGTTGAGATTTCTCATCTTCTACATCAAAGTTGATTCCATTAACTTCATCTGCTTTTTCTGAATTTTGAAATTAAAGAAATTAATAATAATATACATATATATATATTGGGTAATCAAGAATATTATTTTTTACAATTTTTCTTGCTATTTGCAACTTACGTTCATCAATGCCAGATTCTGCCTTGCAAGTTTGTTGCACATCAAGTAATGAGGTTTTCAATTCTTCAAGTGTCTGAAAAAAACATTAAAATATATTATGAGTAGTTTTATATATTAATTAAATAAAATATTTTAAAAATAATTATTTTTTTTTATTAAATTAATTCTTATTATATATATTATTTTATTATATAATTATTTTTAAAATACTATATACATATGTGTATTATTTTAAAAATCTTCTATTCATCCTAAATATTAATAAAATTTTTGGTAGTAGTCTTTATATATCTTTATATATAATATCGTAATGATATAGTGTAATGAGCTCGAAAATTATTAACTCCAATTCTAGCTCCTGTTCCTGTAGATATAGTAATAATAAAATTAATTTATTACAAATGTTGCTATTAACAAAGTTCTAAACGATCAAGAGCAATATGCCAATGAAGATTTACGTTCATTACTAAATTCACAATACTCTAAATTTTTATTCATTCATTCACAAAGTTTCAGAAAGTTCGATGCTTAAAAAAGTTCTTATGTTGAACAAATTCTAATTTAAAATTCTGAGATTAAGAAAATTCTGATTCTGAAAAAATTCTACCAAAAACGTTGTAAAACCCCTTGTATCTCATGAGATCGAAAATCTTGATGGGATACACAAGCAGCCAACAATATTCAGTAGATCAATCCTCTGACTGAACGCCCATCCTCAAAAATTCCCAGAAAAGAATAGAATAGAATAATAGGACATAGGTCCATAGAATCTGCTCTAAAAAAACTGATCCATGAATATCTATAACAAGTCTTCTTAAACAGGATAATGTTAAAATTAGTATGGCTGGAAAATATCTCAAATCCTGAGATCATGATTACACTCCAATTATGCCAAACATGTATTTTTAACAAATATATAATTTCAAAGATTTTTTTCTCTCAAAAACGTATTGTCTTAGCAAAACGTATTTCTTCAATGTCTCAACAAACACTATCACTCGATTTAAATAACAAATAATGTTATTATTCTATATTATTTGCTATAATATCATTATATTTAATTATTTAGAAACAGCTATCTTTGAGAAATTTAAAAATAATATTTAATGGAAATAATTAAAAATTATCTTCATTTTCGATTTTCAGAAAATAAAATAGAAAGCAAACAACACAATCGTAAAAATTTATAATGATTAAAAATTTTATATATTTATAAATAATCCAAATTTAAAAAGATCAAAAATAAATTCAATTCAATTCAATACAAGAATTTTATAGAAAAAATAATAAGTAGCAAATGATAAATATAAATCACTTCAGATATGGAATTTTTCATTTTATAGTGGAAAAAATTCTTTTTTAGTTATTAATTAATCATAGTTATTAATTAATCATAATTAATCATATAGAAAAATATTTTTATTATTTTTAAAAGAACACATTATTAAATGTTACACTAATATTACACTAATATTAAATGTGTTTGAAACCAATGTTTTACCGGAAATATATTTAATAATTTTAAGATTAATTAAAATTACTAGATAATTAATTAGAGATAACAATTACATAACAATTACTAGAAATAACAATTACATTTTATATCTTTTTTAATTATACGTGAATAATTATTTATCATTTTAGAACTGATGTAAGGATTTATAATATTAACAGAAAATGTCATTAAATAAAAATTCAAATTTATTATTAAAAAGAAAATAAACTATTGCAAAGATATAAGTTGTGACAATTACGATATTTTTAAAATCATATAAAAATATAAAAATAAAATTTAAAATTTAAATAAAGATGCTAAATATAAACTATGTTAAATATGAATAAAGTTGAACATATTTGAACATTTACCATTGCACTAACGCAAATGCAAAATGCAAAAATAACCACGATAGTTTTCATTTTTTTTTAAATATATCGATTTTAAATAAATAAGATTCGAATGCTTGAAATACATTCAACAACAACTGAACAAATATCGAATGTGCGACGTCTTTTTATAGTATAATTATTAGTACTATTAATTATTAGCATAATTATCATTATCATTCTCAGAACTTCTTTCTCTCGATTATTAGAAGCAATGATATTGCATATATGTTTAATAACAAGAACTTATTAATATTTCATATTATAATATCGATTTATATATCGAATTATTAAATTAAAAAATAATATAAAAATATTTAAAGATTAAAAGTGAATGCATACTAAAACAAAAAGAAATATTCAATTAATTAATTTCTTTTTCTTATCTCTGAAATATAAAGGGTAAAACGATTACAAGAATAATAAATGCATAATTAGCATTAATAAATGCATAATTTCATTTAAACAATTATTTATTTTCTTTCTTTTTCCGTTTTTTTTTAAATGTAGTTTTATTAATAATATTTTACAAAAAAAATATTTAAAAAATCTTATTTATAATGAATTAATGTTATTATGAATAATTTTTTTGTTTTTAGTAAATCTTTATAAATATATGAACAATAATATAATTTAAAGTCGATAATTGATTTGAATTTGAAATTTAAAGAAGATCTTAAATTTTAATTTCGAATAATTCGAAATATTAAATAAATTTTCATAAAATGCAAAAATCTCAATATAATAATAGCAATTTTTTTACAAATATTTTTATAAATTAAAATTATATATGAAGAATATTAAATTTATTATAATTATAATTTAAATTATTATTTAATTTATATTTAAATTATTATTTTTATTTTCTATACTTTATATATCTAAAAATGATTAAAATCCATGAATACATTGATTGGTTTATCAACGACTTTTTATTTATTTTTTTTTTTTTTACATGATTTTGCAATTCATTTATGCAGTATAGATTTGATCATTTTTTTATATAATAATTTATAAATTGCAATTCACTTAAGATATATATATATATAAAACTAAAATACTCATTCAATTTATTTCTTAGTTTCTTAGTTTTTAATTTGATTTAATTTTATAACATTATTCTTCTTCAACTAATTACGAATGAGTGAATAATTTGTTACAACTTATCTAATTATCTCGATTCGAAAATCGTTAGTAATAAATGCAAGATAAGACGCAAATTCTAAAAATTTTGAAACTTTAATGATATATAGATATATATTAAATTAAATTATTTCTTTTTTTTATCTAAATTCATTTTAAGGAACAAAATTGATTTATATTCAGTTAATTTTCGATTTTGTCTTATAACTTGTAAAAGGTAGAGAAAAAAATAAAAATTTTTATTTTTATTTGATAAAAAATTGACAAATTGTATTGTGATTAGGAAAATATTATAAATAAAAAAAGAGTTATACTTTATTTTTTTATATGAAATCGATAATTTCATTAATTATAATAGTATTATTAGAATTATAAGGATTATAAAGAAACAAACATTTTTTTTTATTATAAATAATATTTCGTTTTATTGCGTATTATTTTGTTCTGCAACAATATGAGAAAATGAATCTTATTGTATTTATTTTATGTACGGCGCAATAAAAGATTTTCATCATGCGAATATATAATAAGAAAAAAAATGCATTTATAAAAAAATTATATCATGAATTTCATTTTCATATTTAAGGAGAAAATAAACGAATGATTGTTTCCTGCAAAACATATGAAAGGGATTTGATTAATGAAGATTTATTAACGATAAAAAATATTAAATTTCTTGCATCTATTGTAAATCTAGTTTATATATATGTTTGTTGATTTTATAATAAAAATATAAATAATTGATCTAAATT